GGGTGGGATAGGGGGAGGGTTTTGGGGGAGTGGGGGATGAGGAGGATGGGGATGGCGATGTGTATGAATGCTAACTTTGCTCTTGCAGAATGGTTCAGTTTGAGGCGCGATGATGGGAGATGGGAGATGGGAGATGGGAGATGGGGAAGTATTTGAGGGTTGATAATGGGGAGTGGGTTAGGCGCCAGACGTCAGATACACGATTCGAGATGATGGGTGGGAGGAAGGGTGTTCAAGGACTCTCGAGATGTTTCGCGACAAAATGCTGGTGGTTTATTTTGAGCATATCATTGGCGTATGGGGATTTCCTACTGTAGGTGCGAAGAGAAAAGAAGAATGGTAGGAGGATTGATACATCAAGATATCTCGTCAATTCATACTACCTATCAAAGACCTAAATTATGGTATCACAATTGCGCCAGACCATGCTAAGTATCCGTATACCCCAACGCCATTTTGCCCTCTACCTAATGTTTCCCTTCCTGCTCAAATTTTACTGCTACCCCGTCATTTGGCTCGCCCGGATATATCTTGTAAAGCTGTGATCGTCCTTGTCTGGTTTTCCTGATCCAGATTCGTCAAGAGCGTTCTTATATCTAGAGGTCAGGTTTGCGTCATCGTTCTTATCCTCTTCCTCCTCGTCGTCTTCCAAATCGCTCAGTACCTCCATATCCACATCTGGTCGAGATGCTGGAAGCTTTCGGCTGGAAGGTTCACCAGATACAGCCATATCGTTCATCAACTTCCCTAATTCCTTCTCTCGGTTTGCAAGCTTCTCAGCTTCTCTCTGCTTCTTCTTACGTTCCAGCTCAGGTTTGTAATCTCGGTTGAATTCCTCCGCTTTCTTTTCCACGGCTTCGAAAAACTCTGGGATTCCGGCTCCAGTCATGGAACTCACACCAACCACACTTAAATGGCTATAAAACTCCTCCAGCATAAGGCTCATACTGTTCAGCAAAGAACCCATATACCCACTCCCCCCCATCCCACCAGCTTCGCCGCCAAAACTCCCAGCTTCCTCTTCCTCTTTTAGCGCTGCTTGGAAGGCTTCGAAATCCGTCATCCACTCCTTGGCGAATTCCGCGTCTTTGACATCCGTTTTGTTGAAGACTAGGATCATGGGGAGTTTGGTCTTGTAAAGAATACTACATGCATAAAGCATGTTACTCATAAAGGTACTCGTCGAAGCTGTCCGTGGGGTATCGATGATATAAGCGATTACAGTCGGGAACGTTGAAGCTAGGGAATCTAACAAGATAGCTCCACTTGCGCTCCAGACAAAGACCTCGATTTGACCGGGTGTGTCGACCAGGATGTTCTTGATGGGCTTCGCGTCTGGCTTCGCGGGGTCAGGCGAGGTTCGCTTCTCGAGGAGGGTGAGGATCTGGTCGATTTTTGTGGCGAAGAGGTTTAGGGATGTGAGGATGCCGCCGTTGGGACCGAGGTTGTAGGATTTCATGACTTCTTTGTAGTTGACGCTATCGCGAATGTCGATGTTGCTGTCGAAGGGGACGTTTCGCACGGCGGGGTCGAGGTTTATCACGTAGGGAGGGGTTTTTTGGGCGTGGAGGTGGGAGTTTATTCTTTGCATGAAGGTGGTTTTTCCGGAGCCTGAGAGGGAGGGTTAGAGTCTGGTTCGTTTGAGGGTTGAGATGAGGAAATATGTACCCGCCATTCCTACGCATACGATGGATACGGGCTGGGTGCCCTGGGGAGCTTGAGGTGTGGCCATGATTGATGTTGTTTTGTGATTGCGGGGTGTTGAAGCTGGATTGACGCGAGCAAAAATTGTATGCGGGTTTGAGGCGGGGTGCTTCGAAGCCTTGACGACCCCTGACGCGCGCCTGAGCTTCAGCCTCTTAAATCTGGGGTGAACTCTCCCAAAAAACCTCACAACACTTCCCAGCCACTTTCAATATGGACGGACTCGACGATTTTGAGAAGACTTTGGCGGAGGAAAAGAAAGCTAGGGAGAAAGCGGAAGAGAAAAATAGCCGGGATAAGGAGCGCAAACATAAACATCGACATCGATCAAAACATCACAGATCCAGAGACGATGATGGTTCAGACAGGGAAGGGCATCGATCGAAACACAGGCACCGACGAGATGTTGATCCGGAACGAGATGATCATAGACACAAACGGTCGAGGCATTCGAAGGAGGATGAGAGGGACGATCGCAAAAATCGCAAACATGAGAAATCCGGAGATCCTCACGAAGACCTGCCATTACCAGATGATGAAGTGCCGTTGAATACGCCTAAGCTAGTTCGAGATGATTGGATGACTGCGCCGTCCGCAATGGATATTGATTATACACAGAAGGGTGTAAAGAAGGTTGAGAAAAAGGCGCCGTCGAAGCCGGATTACGATTTGAAGATTCATAAGAATGAATTGAATATTCACCTCCAGGATTTGGCGGACGGGAAGAAGCTGGAGGATATCGAGAACGAGGAAGATGATTTCGATTATGAATTTGGTGATTCGGGAGCTCAATGGCGCATGATGAAGCTCAAGACGGTTTATACCCAGGCAGAGCAGAGTGGAAGGAGTGTGGATGAGGTTGCTATAGAAAGATTCGGTGGATTACGGGAATTTGATGCTGCGAGAGAGGAACAGATTGAACTGGATCGACGACATCTTTATGGAGAGGGATATGTTGGAAAAGAGAAGCCTACCGGGGAATTATTCAGAGAGAGAAAGTTGGAACTGGGCATTAAAGAGAAAAGCGAGGCTCCACCAAACGACCCATTACCACAAGGACAGGTTATGGAGGAGTCACAGCCAACTCCAGTATCATTGGATGCTTCAACATTAAATCGGATGAAGGCAAAACTTATGAAAGCCAAGTTGAAGAAGTCACCCGATGCTGCCAAATTGGAAGCTGAGTACAATGAGGCCATGGCCAATTATGGAAAAAATCCTAGTTCGGGAGTGGTGGTTTTGGGTAAGATGGATAATCGACTGCTAGCTGGCACTCGTGGTGAGGTCAAGTCCATTGATAATAAAAGAGGACGGGAGAGAGGTTTCGTTGAAGAAAATGAGGACATGAGTATAGAAGATATGGTCAGGGAAGAGCGGAGAACCAGAAATCAAGCTGGTGGCGAGGGTATGAGAGCCGCAGAACGAATTGCTAAAGACGGAAAATTCGACGACGATCTCGATTATATGGACGACAACGCAAACAAACTTGCGAAACGAGTGCAGAAATCCGAAATCAACTTGAAGAATGCCGCAATTGGCGATTTTCAAAAGATGAATAGAATTTTGGACAATTGCCAGCTTTGTCATCACGAGGACACGAACCAACCACCGGTTGCTCCTATAATCTCTCTGGCGACACGTGTATACCTCACATTACCAACGGAGCCAGAACTTAGCGAAGGTGGTGCAGTCATTGTACCTATACAGCATCGAACCAATCTATTGGAGTGTGACGACGATGAATGGGAGGAGATCCGAAATTTCATGAAATCCTTGACACGAATGTACCACGACCAAGGGCGAGACGTAGTATTCTACGAGAACGCCGCGGCTCCCCAAAGGAAAATGCACGCAGCCATGCAGGTCATTCCCCTCCCCTACAGCTTGGGCGAAACCGCCCCGGCATTCTTCAAGGAAGCAATTCTCTCCTCGGACGAAGAGTGGACACAACACAAGAAACTAATTGACACAGCAGCCAAAGCTCGCGATGGTATGGGGAAACAGGCATTTCGACGATCAATAGCGAAAGAAATGCCTTATTTCCATGCTTGGTTCCAGCTTGATGGAGGACTGGGACATATTGTCGAGGATTCGAATAGATGGCCCAGAGGAGATCTTTTTGCCAGAGAGATCATTGGGGGGATGTTGGATGTTGAGCCAGATGTTATTAAGAGGCAGGGCAGGTGGAGGAAGGGCGATAGTAGATTGGAGGGGTTTAGGAAGAGGTGGAGGAAGTTTGATTGGACCAGGGTTCTTACTGATGGGTGAGAGAGGTGGGTGGACTGGTAGATAGGGATATGTTGATAGTGTAAATTGTAAAATACTCTTGTGTTATATTATCTACTGTGAGATCTTACTCTTGTCTTAGTCACCTTCTTTTCCTTTCTCGGGTAACTAAAAAGGTAACTGATAGGTCAAGCTTTGTTGTACAGTACTCATATTTGTTGGTTACTCCAAGGGGACCCATCCTCACCATCCAACAAGTACAGTGCAAGAATTCTCGCTAGTCGAAATGTATAAACAAGCTTAGGAGCATGCACGTTATTCCGAACCTTGTATTTACCCCAGCTCCCATGAACCCTAGCGTGTGGCTTGCTCATTCGGGTGACCGGCCCGAGGTTCGCTGTTGGTTATTGAACACAGGTCCAATCCGCCGCCCTCCAAACACATGAACGTCGCCGCATAGAAATTGAGCTCTTGGGGATTGAAATCTTGGGACAACAGCCCCCGAGATACTCAATTGGATCGCGCCCATGCCGGCCTAGTTCTTCCTCCTCCACAGCATTCTTTAGAATGTCCAGACTCCTCCTCTTCAATGCCACTCGTTGTCGATGCCCCCACCAATTCCGCCCACCATTCACCCTAATCCAAACCCAAACGCTCGCCTTAGCCCCAACCCCGTCAGACCAATATCCCGCTTGGAAAAATGCACGAGCACAAAGGAACTACTCCAATGGCAGCACACCGAACGAACCCAGAGTACCGGATCATTATAAGATCCTGGGGATTGCGAAAAATGCTACTCCGGCGGAGATCAAGGCGGCCTGGCTGGAAAAGAGGAAGTTCTACCACCCGGACAGAAACCCTGATAAGTCAGCGAAAGACAACTTCATTGTTGTCAACCATTCATATGAAATTCTGAAAGATCCTGGCTTGAAGCGTAACGCTGATGAGATTTGGAAACGGCAAAACCCATTCGTCGAACGCGCACCGCCTGCTGTACCGAAAAAGAACGTAGTGAAGGCAAAACAAGAGCCCATGGAGAAGTCACAACCCAAGAACAAAGTTGATCCTGTGGCCACTCTCAGGCAAAAGGAGATTCAGGAAGTTTTAGAGGCTCTCCAGCGCGAAGAGGCCAGACTGAGAAGCGAGCGCGAAGAGACCAAAAGGAAAAGCGAGAGCAAAAAGGCCAGACAAGTTTTGGAGGCTCTCCAGCGCGAAGAGGCCAGACTGAGAAGCGAGCGCGAAGAGGCCAAAAAGCAAAGCGGACTGCAGCAGAGCGAACAGGCCCCACGGGAGGCCGAAAACCCCGAAGAGAAAGTTAAGGCTGAAGCAAAAACTTCAACACGAAAAAGGTATCATTATGAAGGCTCTAGCGTGGCATCCATACGGCTGAAAACAATTGAAGCAAGGAAACAAGAAAGGCTGCTGCAGGAAACCCTCTGGGAACAGGAACGGATGGCCGAACTTCAGGAAGGATCGAACATAATGAATCAATCGAAGCAGCCTGTTCAGAGGGAACAGAAATTCCGGGACCGGTCACCCGAGGAAATCCTCGCAGACTCGATGAGATCGCACACAAGGGGCTATCAGCTGTACTTCAAAATCATTAAAGTATCGGCGTTAGCGCTTTTGACGCTCTTTGTCATTAAAAAAGTAGTGGATCTTGCTGCGGAAGATGAAATGAGTTCGCAGATTGAAGAAAATCGCATCATACTCAACAATTTGGAAGCTCTCCTAGCTGACGGTCAGTATTTAGTGCATGCTTCCCTCCTAGATATAGCACTCAGATTGTTGGAAACTGAAATGTTTATTAATGAGCACGCGGATTGGCTCAATCTCGTCGACAAGAACATCGATGGAGTAAGCTTCATGCGGGATATTGCGGCTAGAAGGATGGCGTTGGGGATAAAGTGTCATGAGGTGCCTTCACAGCAGCAGGGAGTTCGAAAAAACATAATCGACATATCTTCCTCGCCTCTCTTGAGCAGGTTTAAGCCTCCAGGCTCCAATCCAGCTGTCAAGTAACCCCATTTTTCAAGCCAGGGTTAGGCCCTCGAGAGTGACGAATGTACATCAGGGTTCCGGCTCGGAACTTTCTCTCTGCACATTGGGATGTCCAACTCTTTCGATCAGTGAGTCTGCCATGATGCCATGATGCCATGAGTCTCGTGGCTATTTACGTACTGTACATATATTCAATGAGTGATTATTACCCACCATCTACGCTCTTCATTTTCCATGGTAATCTTTCACTATCTCTGAATTTTCACCTTCTTATTTATGTTTTGATATCATGTTTTGGGACCTAGACGAAGTTGTCATAGAAGCCAGCCAAGACTGCCTTCATTGGTGTAACAATGATATCTGCTCAAGTTCTGCTGGAATTTCAAAGCATCGTCTCTATCATCACTTCTATCTCGACCTACGTCTTAAAAACCTCCCGCTAGGTTTCCATCCCACCCCTTCGATTCTCGATTCCCCTTTCCTCACGCTCCAATACCCTCCTAGAAAGACCACAAGAACCCCTCCCACAATTAAGCATAACGAGAACGGAAGCCTCAGAACACCCACAAACCCCACAAATTCGCTCTTCTCGTTCTCAAAGAATCAAGTTATCTCCTACTGTAGATAAGCCAACGTTGACCGAGCGAATAGCGTAAGACTACGCCTCATGAAGTCTACATGGTTGTCTAAATCTCTAGCCCAAAAGGACCTAACTCTCAATCATCGCCGGACTTCTTCGGGGCTCACAGGTTTGGCGTCGTGTACTTTGATTGACGATAGTCGCTGCGCTTTCTGGATATGTTGTATACAAACCGAGTTCGCTTACGCTGGTCGCGCTCAGCGACGTCATGTGGGGATTTGTGGTCAATTGATGGTTAATACCTCTACTCCAAGGGGTAAACGAACAAAAACTGGGACTTCTCTTGAGATTATAATACAGACAAAGTCTTTGTAAGAAAATTGGAAGGGGTTTTGGTGGTTGAGGGGTTAGTGGGAAAGCTAAAGCGCATTTGGCTTTATCATGTTTAATACCTCTGAAGGGAATGATGGATATTAGCACTTCCCAGTACTTAGGTATGGGAGCAAGAGGTTGAGGAGGTTGGGATGCAAAGGGATGCAAAGGGACACGAAGATATCAACTCTTTGTAAGTATTTCAAGTATACGGGAAGCGACCAATTATTTATTTCTTTCTGCTTTCATTTATAATATTATTTCCGTACGCGGAATAGATGACTGTAGTATTCCAGGTCCTAGATGCAATGCAGTATCATGACAACTTTAGTCCGAGGAATCAATTTGATAGAAGATACAGTAGGGCTGTTAAGCGAGTTACATGTAAGTAAGACTTACAGTAGCATAGCCCGTTCCTCCTATTCGCTTTCTCCGAGAGATTCCTATTCAAAATTCTTTTCTTTTCTGACTCGTTATTTGTGTTTGGGCACGGAGTCATGCAGATACGCAATCACAAGTATTGGGACAGAGAGGACACATGATTTACTTCGTGGTTATGCAATACAGCGTGTAGAAAGGTTAATGTAGAGTAAACAGAGCATGTATCAATTCACGTCACATATCATTTGTGCATTCCAAACAATCTCGATTCATGCATCAAAAACTCGTAACCTAGCCAAACTCGTCATAGCATTACCGCACATGAGACCATCAAGTTCTCTATCTCTGTCTTACTCCCAAGTCGTCTACCAGCCAATCACCACTCCTTTCATCGGCTTTTTCATCAATTTCATTCTCCGTCTTTCGGGTCCGATACTTCTTGACCTCCTTATCTTGGCTGTCAGTCGTGTTGTTCTTCAACCTCCCCTCTCTGACTTTTTCCCAAACACGGACTTGTTCCTTCCTTTGCTTTGCCGCTTTCCTCGCTACGGATGCGAGAGTGTTGACACCAAGTGGTTCAAACTTACTCAGATCTGCGAGGAAATGCCGAACGCCAGAGCCATTAATCTCTGAAATCCATTTGTCGAGGTCTTCGTCACAAGCGGCCGCAGTTGCAACCTGGAGGCCGTGAAAGACTTGTTCGTTGCTGGGCTTGTTAGATTGATGAGATTTGCCTCGCGACTCTACACTTGAGCTTGGGAGTTTCTGAGTCCCAGCTTTGAAATGAGCTGGATGCTGCCGATGGTTCTTGGTGTCAGACGAGTAATGCCGAGTTCCACTTGTTTGATTTCGCGGCGCTAAATGCTTCGACTTGATCTCAGTTCTTCCACTATAAGATTGAGGCTGGGCCTTCGAGTTTGAAGGTAAGAAGTATTCCATATTTTCACCTCCTTCGTCCGGCGACGTTGATGCACAGGACCACTTACGAGGCTTTGAAGGCTTCTTGACCGGATCAACCACAGGTATCATTTTAGTACAATCTGCGAGTGAGTGCTCGGCGTTTTTGATATGGGTCCAGATGCCTCCGTCCCCTTTCTCGTAATTGTCCTCTGGTTCAGGGACCTTCTCCGGTGGCTTGTTTTTGTCAGCTCCGGCTGTTTTCAACACAGGATCTTGAGCCGTCAATTTTTCGGATTGACGGGCTTCAGAATATTGGGCTCTTTTGGGTGGTGCTACATATGCTGTATACACTGACGGGGTGCACTGGGGACATAGAGGTTCTCGAGATGAGCTTGGTTCAGCCTGGCCATCCATACTCTCGACATCCTCATCAATCTGAACGCCACACCCAGCGCAACGGGCTTTTGAGGATTCTGTACCAAGCTGTTGTTCACTGGAAATCTGACCATTCTGTGTCATATCAGGACGCAGATCTAAACTTCTGTTTTCCGGTCGTGCGTTTGGACGTTCACTAGTCTTTTCTTGAGATTCAGGGTAAACGATTTTTGGGCCGGTGGTGTGCTCTTGTGTTGTCTGTGGGGCTTTGATCTTATGCTCCCAGGGTAAACGAGATCTTATCCAGCCTGGTAATTCAACTGCCTTGCTTTCTCCGCGATTGCATGTTTCGTCACATTTGGTTGCTTTTGATGGAAAAGTATTACTTCTCTTGGCGCGATTTGTCAAAGTATCTTGATTTTCTGACTTCGCTTCATCGCGTCTCTGTTTGTTTAAGTCACTGACAGTAGTTTGTGTGGCAACTTGTCTGTAGTTAACCTCTAGTGGATCGGTTTGTGTTGTGACTGTACGTCTTGGGGCGTCCTTAATTGGATCACGCTCCGATGGAGCCGTATTATTTTTCACGTAATTCCATCTCTTGTCAGTTGATGGGCGCGAGACTTCCAAGTATTAGCTCCTAAACGGCAGAAATTTAGGATGTATTTACGTACCATATTCAGTAGGCGGAGCTTGATAAGTTCCTCCTGGTTCTTGATACTTGATTGCCGATGCAACGCTCACTTTAGCAGGAGAAAGTGGGGCCTTGGGCGATTTCTCCTCGTTGTCGAGCCACAGACGAGGTAATCTTACCACGGAAGTTGGAAGTGCTTTAGGTGCAGTCTCCATCTTCTCATGAGGTGGCGTAAACCCAACAGCTGTAAATGCAGAGCCAGTTGATGAGCCTCGAGCCCGGCTTTGGCCTGGGCGACCATAGGTCTTCTCGTGGGGTGGGGTAAAGCCCAGTACTGTTGTACCAGTTGTACCAGAAGCAAATGATCTCTGCCCGTCGTGGCCATAACACTGTACAGGTCGCCTATCTGCAACTGTGCTCAAGCAGTCCGAATTTTTATTGTACGTAGTAGGCTTTTGACCCGTTAGTCTACGTTGCTCTTTGGAAGTCACAGCAAGCCCAGCTGACTGAAATTCAGCATGGAATGGAACAAGTGGTCCCACCGTATCTGCAGAGACGGTCGTGGCAGATGGTGAGAATAGAAGACTTTGTTTTGGCAAAGATTGAACAGCGGTATAATGCAGCTCGAGTTCCTTTGTGAATTTTGTTAATCTTTTGGCCTCACTTCCGGTTCGAAATGGAGAAGTTGACAGGAGACTGGGAACGACTGATGTTATAGAGGGGCTAGAAGTATCGTTGTCTTGTGTAAATCTGGTTGAGTCAATTGTTTCCCATAATGCATCCTCAGTTTCTGGATTTTTGCAAGTCGCTTGGGTGGGGTTGTTGACCGGTGTTGGCATAGATTGCTCGCGTTCATCTCCACCGTCCGTAAAGCAATGAGGGTCAATCCTCGGATCATAAGAACGACACCATTCATTTTGACGTTGGGGAATCTCTTTCTGGGCATTCTCTATCTCTACAGGCCCTGTATGTGCATATTCTCCAGTAGGTTTTCCTTCAGTGTTCTTCTTCTTGTTGGAGCCTTGGGAACGTCGACTTCGTGGCGTCGGTTTGTTCGAAGTCCAATAGCCAGATCCTTCGGCAATGTGCATCATTGAATATATATTACTGGAATTCCCAGTTTTGGTTTTAGAAGCACGTACAGAGCTTCTTGCGCCATCGTTGCGGACAACATGAAGTACGGTATCGTTAGAAGACCCAGTAGGAACATCTTCCTGAGAATTTTTTCCTTGTCCTCTTGTGGAAGCTCTGAAGCTTAGGTCGTGGGTACGGGCTCTGTTGAGATAAATTCTGGAAAGCTGTTTCTCGAAACTGTGCGTATTTCGGTTGGTTCTATGGGAAACCCGTCTTCGGGACAAAGTTGTAGCAGAACATCGAGAACTTCGGCTCCGTCTGCTGCGGACCTTTGAGCGTTGTTTCCTTCTCTCCTGTTGAAGAACAGGGTCTAACGGAGATCTCATAACATCTTCAGCTGCAGTTTGGGCAACGCTTTGGCTTGCTAGAGAGGCACGGCGTATCGATGTGGAAGGGATTCGAGGTAGGTGTCGGTGCGGGCATCCCCTCCAATGGATATTGAAAGAAGGCATTATATGATGAATTTAGGTATGCTTCATTTGGAGGTTCGATAGGGATGCATCGTAGGGGAGTTATGGAGAGACTGAACTCCGCTCTTCGAACAGAATGGAAGTCATCATCCTGTGGTTCCTTCCCTCTACTCTCTAAGGTTTATAGAGAGGTTCCCCACCGTATGTATTATGAGCTACCTACCTAGTCCATGGTTAGGTATCCAGCGATCAGCTCCACCTCATCTGATATCCTTTATTCCTGGCGAAGAATACATCTCCAATTGCCGTTGGCCTTTTCTCATCAAATATTCGATGGCAGCAAAATCCTTCTTATCGAGGGCAAGGCTCTTTTGAAACTCAGCCCTACAACTATATCAGTACAAGCCCTAGACTTGTATATGGCTACACATCAAAACATACCTCGCATAAGACTCGAAGTGAGATCTTGTATCCTAAGGCGGATGTCAAAATATATTCACGATGCATGCCATATTAGTAACTTACAATGGGCTTCTTTCTACTTTCCCTTAGACATTTCCGGTATAACGCCAGCACTTCTTTCTGCAAGCCCGAGTACCTCATTTTAGATTTTGTGGCTATGGCTTGTCAATTGAAATGCTGGAAAGAAAATGATGCTATCCATATGTTGACGTGATGTAAAATATCTCCGGAGCTACCCCCCTGCCTGGGCCCTGAACCTCGGAACCCAATTGTCCGAAAAAGTGCCGATAGCGGAATCGGATCTGACGTCTTCTACTCTTATCTTCTTTTGTTGAATTCAACAATATTTTATATATTATAAATAACCATACCTAGAGATATCTGCTGGGAGAATAGCGTCCAGAAAAATGCCTACTTTCTCCGCAAGTTCTTGTAAAATTAACTTGATATTGTAGTACAAATCCCTAACACAACCCTTCGCATACAGCGTCTAGTTAGATTCTTCGCCAAGGACGGCAAAACATATTACGGAGATGCTATCCTCCCTCATGGAGTAACTGACATATCGAAAGCCAAGCAAGCAAAAGTGATCACCGGTGAGATCTCTGGAAAGTATAGTGTTACCCAACAGGTAGCCGAGATCCGAACGTTACTCTCCCCATTGGCATTGGAAGATGTTAAGACAGTTCGATGTCTAGTCCTCAATTATGAGCAACACGCAAGAGAGGTAAATTACCTCGCAATGGACCGAATAACCAGCAGTGAACTGTTTCCTCAATTATTTCTCCTTTCTAGGACACTTGTAGGTTAATAGCCTGAAGCTTTTGGGCAATAACTTCAGTTGTCCTAGAAATTTCGGTTAATCATCTTGAATGCTCAAAACCATTAAAACAATCAGATCCGTTGAATCAAGTTGCAAGAATCCGAGGCTCTTTGCTGCCGCTTTCTTGTGGAACCCCAACTCAGGCTCGACACTTCTCGCTAACCAAAGCTTCAGTCAAATATGCCCATCCCAAAATTCCCAATTCTATTTGTAAGTACCGCCTTACCTCTCTGAAAATATTGTCTCACAACAAGTTAGTATAAACCCGTGACTTCCCTTTCAGGACCCACCTCCACAATACCAATTCATCCACTCGCTCAACAAGGAGAAGGACTAGACTACGAATGCGAGCTCGTCGCCATCATCGACAAACCCTGCACCGACGTCTCTGAATCCGAAGCTCTCTCGTAAGTCTTAGGATATAGCATCGGCAACGACGTCTCCCACCGAGACTGGCAAATCAAGCACGGAGGCGGGCAATGGTCACTCGGAAAAGGGTTTGACGGGTGGGCACCTTGGAGTCCAGGAATCGTCAGTAGTAGCATCATCCAAGACCCTCAGAACTTGAGGATTTCGACAAAGGTTAATGGGGTGACGATGCAGGATAATAACACGAGCGATATGATTTTTGGTGTGGCGAAGACCATTGCGTTTTTGAGTCAGGGGACTGACTACTTTGCTACATGGGGATTTGATTTTTACTGGGACGCCACAGGGTGTGGGCATGGGGAGGAAACCTCAGGTGTGGTTGAAGGATGGGGATGTTGTTGAGGTTGGGCTTGAGGGCGCAGGTACGTGTGTTAATAAGGTTGAGTTCATGGAGAAGACGGTGGCAAAGCTGTAAACAACCTTTTCATGGAATGTTATATTTGGTATGATCTCGCTGTCTTTCTCTCAACATGATAACTAGTTGAAATGTTCTCATGGAGACGGTCTCATATTGAATTAGGTGTCTATGGCCTGGCTTCGGCGTAGTACGAAAATTAAATTAAACCCCTCTATCCCTATCCATATTTTACGAATAACTCCTTATCGTATAGTAGAGGATGTGGAGGAGAAGGGAGCATGGATTATGGAGGTAGAAGCTAGAGTGGTAAGACGTTGAAGATGAAGGAGACGTTGGACGTTGAAGATGAAGGAGAATCAAGGCCTCTTTTTGAGATATATCCTTACCAGCTATGGGGACAACCAGACTCTAAATTCCCAAGTTCTATACTCTCACAGAAATCACATCACAAATTCACTCTAATCCAGAGAAAAAAAGGTATCTATTTCTACGACAAAAACAGATGATCCTAGAGACTTTTCCCAATCTCCAAATACAAGTCCATCCCAATGCAATCCTGTACGTCCAGCCAAAGACCAGACCCACATCATATGACGCCAAAGCCAGAGCCAAAGCCAAACTCCAAATTCCAAATTCCTCCTTAATAACAGACCCCAAGTCCAACCCAATCCCATCCCACCTCCAACTCCCCAACTCAATCCACCTCATGCCCGCTCTTCAACCTAACAACCTTCTTTTCCTCCTCATCACACGGTCTACACATAACAGCTCTCATCTCCCGCACCTCAAAAACCTGGACCTCCTCCCCAAACGTGACAGTCTTGCCACTCACACCCTTCTTCCTAACAGAAGGCACATATTCATCTCCCCCCTCATAATATCCACCCACCTCATTCTTATCATCCCCCCCTCCATCCGCTCTCTCCAAATCCAATTCCGCTCCTGTGTATGTACTCTTCTTCATACATCCCATAACCTCCCGCCGAACCTGAACATGACGAGTACTAGTAAGCGTACATCCCCGAAACCCACAGGCGCCATACCCCATCCGCACACCTGTTCCATACCTCGATATAACCCTACGACGAGAACATCGCGGTAAAAGCAGACCTCTCTCTCCACCCTTTCGTCTCCAATCCTCTTTTGAGCGCCCCTCCCACCAGTCCTCGAGGTAGTCTGCTGCTCGGGGTAGGAGGATGAGGAATAGCACTAGGAGACAAGTAGCTGCTATGATGAAGAGGATGAAGAGGGAAAAGAGGAGGGTTTCTTGGAGTGTTGTCGGATCCTCGTTTGCTGGTAGTGGTGGGAAGAGCGTTGGTGTTGAGCTTGTGAGGCTTTGGAGGAGGGGTGTGAGGGTGGTGGGTGGTTTGTGGGAGGTTGAATTTGAGGGGACGTTGTTGTTATGTGGTCCGATGGGAACCTCTATCCCCTTGAGGGAGAGGAAGAGCTTAGGAATGTACATTATGAGTATTGTGATGTCCTTATTTCTTTTGTGGTGTTGTGTCGGTATATTATTGCGATGCCGACCGTTGTTGCCACAACAGAACCGACGTAAGGTTCTCTATCTCTGTAGGATGGTTGGCCGGTCGGTATAATTGTGTTGTGATTGCGATGATACCAAGACGGGTGGTGCAGTATAATCTTTGTTTAGGATATAAGCTCCAAGTCGGCCAAATATATGAGAGACCCCCACCACGCCGACCTTAGCCCCAGCCTCCCAAACCCCGCCCAAAAGAGCAGTGAATCTAGTGATAATAATTCGCGTCTAAAAAGTGAGTTCCGATTTGTTTGGTCAGAATGAGGTCATCGTAGCAACTGAGGTGGTTAAGTGAATACACTCGGATTCACTAGATCAAAGGTATCCATGCCTGTAGTATTGAGACTAAGAGGAATGGGGGATTGACGGATTGTGAAAACAACATGAAATGGAAGAATGTAAAAGTGAGAATCAAAAGTTCCACCCACTTGAAGAACCAAAAAGCATGACGTGCCGTAAGCCTAACGCTAGAGTTTAGGGTGAAGCTATTCACACCAGGCAACCCGACTAACCGACTAATGCAAGGTAAAACACAACATCAACAACGCTAATGACGAGAAATATGACCACATAAGATGGTACCTAGCAGCATAGCAAAAGGACATGATTTTGGAGGATGCACAACTTCAAAGGGTGAAAAAAGAACTAGGATTGGGTATAATACGATCGAAGCAAACTAAGTAAAGATCCCTCCCATCCTCCATTCCTCACCCGCAATGCAACACAAAAGAAATCCCAAACTATGTACAACAACAAAAAAAAATGAAACAAAGCAAGGGTATTAAAAGAGCTAGACAAGCAAAGCCGAGTTTGCAATTTACCCCCTCCCACCTTTCAATTCCAACCTCTTCATCCTTTCTCCTTCAAAGCAACTGCTTAATATATCTCAGACATTCGCGTCAACATCGTAAAGCATCATAGAAGTCTCTCCTTCAATTATAATTCGAACCACCAACTCAAAACTGATTCAAGCGTGAATTCTTGATGTCAGCAGTGATTTCTTCTCTTACCACTCTACACCATTTCCAGATCGCTTCTTCGAATTCCTTCAAGGCGACTCTATCATTTCCTTGGACCACAGCGAGGACGTCGACTCTGAGAATGACCTCCCATCGTAGTTCAGCAGCTTTGATCCAATATATCAAATTCTCTGCCGGTCGATAAGGTTTCCCGAAATTTGTGTGCCATTTATCAATAGCTCCAAACGGACGTTTGCTCTTTCTGACCAACGTATTATGCAATTTCACTAATCGCAACCCAGTTCGTAAATCTCTCAAGAAGGGCGTAGGTAATTCTTCATGATCGGGAACTGAGTCTACAGGTGTAAAATCAGGCAAGGTGTTAGCGTCCGGGTCCATGGACCTGATGAATGCGAGTTCTCTTTCAATCTCTCTGCCTTCCCAAGAGTTGGAATCGGGGCCATTATCGTCAAGCCAGATCCAGCTGGCCCACTTGCTCCGTTCTTCTTCCTCCATTTCTTCTTCACATTGCAGCATTTCATGTACACTTTCTACCCATGCTTCCATAGTTTCTCTTTCTTCGGTTCGCATTCCACGGGCGAAGCCCCGTGTTGCCATTCGCTTGAGCACATCCATCACTGATAGTAATTCTGTTCGTATTGTGCGCTCATTTTTAATTGCAGCAAGTCGAGCTGGCTGGTCGTGTGATGTGTAATACATTTTTGCCGCGCGAATGGCGAGAGTCATGATATCGAGTATGTGCATTCCTTGAATCTCATACCAGCCACCGGCTTTCGGACTCGAGGTGGGCTCGGAAGTGGGATTTGGTGATGGGGGAGCTGATGTGGAGGCTTCCTTCGCCTCTGCAAGTACTTTTGTGGCTTCGGAGAGGGCTTTTCGTAGGTCTCTTTTGAGTTCTTCGAGTGTTGGAGGATGGGGTATAACTTTCTCCCGATGATTGTATGTGCTAACCGTTGGAGGTAGCATATGGGGGTGATCTTCGTCTTCCTCATCCTCATCATCGCTGTAAAATGCCTCCTGTGTTGGACTTTCCACCATCAACCCGCCATGACCTTGTGCATGAAGCTCTGGACTGCTACCCATGGAGGCATATGACGAATCGATATCCGAGCCGAAACCGTGAGGAGACAGGAACGAGGTGTCCAACGCTGATAAATCCAAGGTTTTCCGATTATCGCCCGCCTTCTTTCTCAACCGTCCACCTTTCCCATCCAACAATCCCGTCCGAGCGAAATAGTACTGCAGATGCATGATACTGCCCAAACTAAGAACGCTCTCTCTCGACTGTGCTGATTTCGCAAAATTTGTTCCCTGAGGACGGACATAACCTCTTCTACCAGTCTGCTCTAGTCCCCCCGTTGACTGCCTCTTGGAATAGCCAGCTGATGAGGATCGTGACACCGAGCTCCCGACGGAGCTTGCCATTGATTCTCTACCCCCCATACTGCTAGACGATCCAGAAAAAAGAGAACCACCTGAGCCAGCGGACACGCATCGAGTGAGTTCCAGGCCAATCGCAGGAGTAGGCGATGGTGAAGGTGAAGGAGGAGGTGAATCTCTGCGGAAAGAAGGTTGTTGTCGGAGTTGTTGCTTGGCCGCCATGATTGCGGCGGGAGTGGGAGGCAAGTGCGGGTGTAAATAAGGTCTCGCGTGTTTCCGATCGATTATGCCGTGGGCAGCTCTTTCCTCCTGTAACTTGGGTGTGATGAATGGGATTGTGGTGAGTGTGAGTGAGTGTGTATAGTTAACAAAGTCGTAGGACAGACACTCGCAGGAGGAGTCAGGTTGTTCGGGGCAGATTGCAGGTGTTGTGGTAGTTAAAAAGGATTCAAGGAATACTTGAGTAGAGCGGAGTAGTCGACCCGTTGCCGTGGTAGTTGGTGATACACGGTTCCTGGTGGAGCACGTCCTGTATCGTAATAAAAGAGCCGGCGGCCGCGAGAGAGCGAGAGCGTCCGTCCTGGTTATGGTGACTCGGCAAACGGTCCAGGGGTAATCGACGCGATGAAACGTCAATAGCTCGACCCTTCTATGGACCAGCATAAAACTTCTAGAAAACTTTCAATGCCAATGCCTTGGATGCGGAGGGTAGGCTTCGTTGCAGCTGCGATTTGAACTGAGGACTGAGAAGGGGGAGTTTCGTACATGAAGTACTGGTATATTATTGTGATATACTTCACATGATTGACTGCATTCATTCGCCTGTCTCTCTGGGAGATGACTGGTACGTGGGTTTCCTGATTGGGAATGTTCGGTGTTGACTTTATTGATTTCCATTCCGCTGTGCTGGACTCGAAGCTAATCTCTTGTACGATGTCCCAGCAACGCGTGCCTGCTTGATGACTGATGACTGATGACTGATGACTCGCTGGCAAAAGCGACCAAATTGGATGATACAAATCTTATTTAATTCACAACCGACCCGCACGATTTACGGGATTGGATACGGTAATCCGTAAACTCCCAGTCACTACTGAACACGTTGGTCTCTCCACTTCACGCAACTCACACTCGTAGCACATTTTTGTTGCCCCTCACGTTTGAAAACTGTCGAAAAATTCTTATCGATAACTCGGACCGCCCCTTTCTGGTTTCATGTCACGTTTTCGTTTCCTACAGTTTAACCAAAGGATCCCCACTCTGGGAGACAATCTGTTTTGTTTTGTCTCTTCTTATCCACGATGCCCATTTTGTCTTTTGGAGAAGACTCAATCAATAGTTGGCGGATGAACTCCCGGTCAGGTCATATCCGGTGATGATTTGGCGAAATGAATGTACACGTGACATTATAGATCCACCTCTATGGGTACTCATACCCATGGACACTGCAGGTGCCAGCAGTAGGTACGGGAGGAAAATCAATTCAACATGGGTAGTAGCAAATGAGCTCTCTCGTAAATGAGGATAAAGTATATAAACTCTACCGGTAAGCAGAATGTCCTACCAGTTTGGTTGGCGAGAGTAATGTAAGGCCAAAACATAATTGCGGGTGGGAGGTTATGCCTACTACATTGATACGAAGTACTTGCTGTCTAACTTGATCACCAGAAAAGCTATGGTCCCCCCGAACAAAATCATAGCAATTGACCCCGGCCTAAAAGTGTAAATCCAAGCTCATGGGATTTAGAAGAGCCTCATCTAAGGCCTGTTTGGGATTTCTCTAGAATGGAGGACTGCTTTCGAACACTTATAAATGCCGCGTTTCCCAAAAGATGCCTCGTCTGTGGTTAAAACCAATCGTAGACGGGAACAACTCTCATGCGCGCTGAGGACCAGATGTGAATATACTGTTACTAAATTTGGAGATGCAGCAACATGAAAAACCATTAGCAATAAGAAACAGTTTGTACCGTAACACACGTGGGTATACAATTCAATTTCCCTCAATACATGCGCATGTTCAAGTTTTCATTATACATGGTTTCGTTGTTTGTAGTTGAAGTTTGTAGTGTTTGTATGCTAAGCGAGGATTCGAATAGGGGCTTCGAAGTTTATCTTTGTTCTTGTTAGGTGGCTTACGCCCACCCAGGTTCTTCAAATTCAGGTCGTGGGCACAATTTCTACTGTATCTAGATCTGGTGGTAAAGAAATGTGTGTGTAGCAATTGACGTTCGCACAACCTTATAACGTCTTGTAAGCCTAGATAAGAAAAACGGTCACCAGAAATAAAGCTCCCAGGCTCGAGGGAATAGTAATCTAGTCTAGATTTGATAGAGAAGACTTTACTAGTGCGAGTTATAAGCTCGAGAGTTTGTGTCGGCTTCTCGTGGTTACACGACGCAATCAAACCAGTTCTGGAAAACGAATGGCCTGGTATGTTAATACTTTGGTCGTCTGGGAACTCTTTGCGCTCTTTCCTCGACCTGAAAACTTGACGACCTGACCTGGAGACTATATATAAGACCAGATTGTTATTTGCAAATTTACCATCAATTCCAGGGATCAGTTTTGACTATTAAGCGCAGCCAAATAATCTGCCAGTTCAAATTGTGGCTTTGCTCTCCACACCCCCCTCACCCCTTCGTAATCAATCCCCAGCTTCTCAACAACAGCGAAAACACCCGTTACAAACCACACTTCCATATCAGGTCCATAACTTTCATTATTCCCCACCTTATCATCAGTACTAAGCTCAAAACAATGGTGTATCGTCGGGATCACAGTCCGCTGAGCCATCAAGTTGGTATTCGCATCAGGCTTTAGAAGAGAACCAACCACTCTGTGTGTCAACCCTGGAATAGGGCCCGTCATCAAATAACACACCCCACTTGCTCCTGCACCCGATAATATCAGACAGCTGGAATCATCTCTCCACGTTCCCTCAAGGGAATCATCATCACCAAGATTTTGTAAACATGGATTAGTCTTTAGCTCGTCAATAAAGGCACCTCGAGTATCCACACAAGGAATTGCAAACCCAGCATCAACAATTTGCAGCTCATCCAACTTCTGAGAACAAGGCAAGCTCAACTTATGAACTCGTATGTGCCATCCTGGCCACCGAGATGAGGGAGGGATAAGAGTCGTCGTTATTTTCAGCTCAGATCGTCTCCAAGGTTTCCAAGAACTTATCAGGGTTGGCAAAAGATTCTCATCAGAATTTTCACCCTCCAGAAATTGTCTCATCAATTGAATTCTCGCGTCCAGTGGTTCCCAGCGAGTTTTCCATGTCTCCCCATCGTCGTTGCTGGCTGATAAAGTGGAATCAGGCGCCATACTAGTAAGAAGATTGCCAACTGGCACACTGGAGGCGAAGGTAGACGAGTAGGCGAACTTGCTGTACTTCGCCTCGCGCGCTTTATGGGCCTTCTTTGTGAACTGGCCGGCTGATAGGAGGAAGTGATGTTCTGGGGACGAACACACAATTTGCATCGCAGGTGCAACAACATATACATCTCTACAACTCGACAAATTCTCTTCTAGCGCTCCTCTTTGGCTGAATGCGCTGTCGAATTTGATCTTTGAGCAAGTGGATGAGGCAGCTCCTCGCAGGCCCAAAAGGGGTGATCCTCGCTTAATCTCAGAATAGAAAATGTTTTGAAACACCAGTATACTGATTGAGGCGAGTTATAATCTTCGCTCATATACATATTCGCATATGTATATCCAATATTAAGCGTTCCATCGGTATTGAAAATATCCTTCTGCTGCGCCCACCAACGTAGATGACGAAGCAGCAAGCCTTTCACCACTCCCAACTCGTCTAACGGCGGTGGGAGTGAGACACCCGCAACAACAACAGCAGACCAGAACGCAGCAAATGCAAATCGATATGTCAAGCTTCTCCCAAAAGGTATCGCAGCTCCTGGAAATCGTTAGGTTCAAACCACCACAAACAAAGGAAAAGACAAACCCTCAGTATCAAAAAACCTCCAAAATGCCTTTGCAAATTCCCTTGCTTGAACACAGTACTTTTCGCATCTCGTAGGGTCGATATCACCAGCAAATCTCACATATGCAAGCTGACTATACTGTATAGCGAAACTCCCCGAGTAATAATCAACCTGTTTCTTATCCCCAGACCACAACCCATCACAACTCCAACCCTCGCCAAGATAAAAGGTATCGAGGAGGTCGAGATCATCTTGCAATACCTTCTTGACCTCTTCATAGGGTACACCACACACTTTAACAAGTGCAAGATTAACAAGGACCCGGAACCAGCGCCAATTCGACGGCGGAACATGGCGGGAATTGATACTTCTTAAATACATTGTGAGTTTCCGTTTCTCGTCCGATGAGAAGGAATTGAAAAAAGCTCCTGGTGCTGTGAGAAGAGCGTAGGCAATAGGTTCCATCTCCACCATCCTCTGATCGTGATCTTTCACATCGCCCCAATACCCTTCGCTCTCGGGATCAACACCTGATATAAGACCTCTTATCCAGGTGCCCAAATCTAAATCCTGGCATTGACTCAGAAGCAATCCCCTATTATCTTCTGTCATATTCGGGATTTCTGAGCCTGATCTTGGTTCAGTTCCAGATTCAAGAGCGAGCAAATCGGCAACAACCCACAACGGTCTAGCGAACCCTTCCATCTGCGCAGCGATCTCATCGAATCCAGTTCCTGTTGCGGTCGGTAACTTGATTCGTGCTCCGCAGGGGGATTTATATTGATTTAGCGGTTTTAATAGGGAGAGTGAGGCATTGAGGACGTCTTGTCGGGTTTGGAGGGGGTTGTCTGAGAAGCCGGGAAGTGCTGGCATGGTCGCGTTTTCGGGATTTGCTATCTACTAAGATGTTACGGGAAGGGATGATGGTATGAGTATGATATGTATTCTGATATGGAGTGAAAACAATTTTGAATTTTGGAGCTCGGGTTTTCGGGATAAGGGGTCGAAATGGCGGGGTCATTTTGTCCGCCTATTACTGCCTCTTCATCTCTCTGTAGTAACGACTTCATCATCGACTGGTTCCAATGAGCAAGTAAAAAATTACCTAAATTTCCACTAGAGAACGCCCTCAGTCATAGTATAGGAGTGAAGTTTACCAACCTAAATCGGCACTCCTGTCCTCACCAAATCACAATAAACCCCCCTAGATTACTACCAAATTCACACCCATCAATCACCCTTACTATGGGGAGAATCCAAGCAAGGTTCGGCATTTGGAATACGATTCCAAGGATTCCAAGATTCCATTCCAAAGTAGAATATTCCAAAGGCTCTTTAATTTAGAATAGAATATTCTAAAGGATAAGGCCTTAGAATTTGGAATTCTAAAAGATATATATATTACTATTTAAATAATAAGAGAGCTCTATTTATTATAAAGTAAGGACTAAAATTATGATTTTTACCTACGCCTAATTAATTATCGTCGTATCCTATATATAACCAAGGTAAATCTAAGTAGTTTTATAGTATTTGTACTACCTATACCGCCAGTCCAGGAGGCGCAAATACGTATATTTAAGGCTCTTTTATACAGGGTAACTATAAGTGGGTTTAGAGTACGTATACTAGCAGTCTAGAAGTATATGTGCCGCTAGTATAGGAGGCGCAAATACGAGTATTTAAGGCTCTTTTGCGCGGGCGACATCGTAATATTATTATTATAGTATTAATAGTATAGATGCGATTCTTAAGTATTAATATAGTACTAAGGCTAGGCTTCCTATTAGTCGCTCGGACCGGAACTACCTTTTTACAGATCACGTAAGGAATTCTAACTGGAAGTCTGAATGGAATGGAATTATAAATGCCGAACCTTGAATCCAAGAGCTTTACATCAATATGAGGTGAAGATCTAGATCCTTGTTAAACAAAACTCCGTAAGATTACACTGACCACGGGTGGTTTGTACAAAACAAAAGAGAGGTCTACGAGCGTAAATCAGTCGCAACGATCTAGTCAGAGACATTTGATGGAAAGGAAACTTGCGACATCCAGATTCCAAAAACAGCTACTCATTCCCACCAAAGCAGCAACTCAACAAACGAACAAACTACAGTATCCCAAATGTTCTCTAAGAGGCCAAATACAAACAGAGCAGACATATCACTTCCAAAACCCCAACAACGACTTTTTACCGTCGAAAACCTAGCTACTGTCGAAAACTCAAGAAAATTCACGTGAAAGAAAGACGACTTCGTAGACTCAAATAGATCTCTTAAATATTCGACATTGTAAGTAAGATGAAGTAGGATAAAATAAACTCCCCCATCTATCACCCAATCACGCCAAAATAAACAACCTCCTCCATATCCTTCCGACCCACACTCCTTCCTGCCTTCTCCTCTCCTTCACCCGTGAAATGCATCAGGAAATCCCCTAAACTTATACAACCAAACCCAATTTCTCCACCATTTTCCCGCTTAGCTTTCCATTTTCCCAATGATTCGTAACGGTGGATATAGAGGCCGACCGAAATCGAAGGAGAAAGCGGGGACGAACGGGATTTAGTCTCTAGATAGCATAACAACTAGTAAAAGACATACTTTAGAGTCTATTCCTAGAATCTCTAGGATACTTAATTCAGGAGGTACCACGTAGCTAACTACACTTACTAGCAGTAAATCTCGCACAAATCCTAATACCTAGCACCACCCACATCCCCTCAATCAACCCCCCCCAAACTCCAAAACCCCCCCAAAAAGTATCCAAGGCGCATCCTTCTATCTGACAAGGGACTTAACTCATCGACACAATAAATTACCAGCAGTGTAGCACCTACACCATTAGCAAAGAGGAATGTTATGGTGGGGATCAAGGAATAGATTGTTCGCAAGGAGGGAAGAGAGACGCTCTTCGCACTCCTTAGGTATTTGTCTATCTACGGAAGGGTACACCCGCAACTTCGCTAAGCGAACCCTTATTCACTAAATCAAAAACTGTCACAAGGAACAGGGGAGGAGCATATACTGTACCCACATACCTATCAGATAGCCCGTTATACTCAGATTGACTATCCTGCGTTCGACACAGAATAAATCAGTTTCATCAACAAATGCGTCCTTACGACCACCAAGTATCGAAGGTGCCCGAAGGCGAGGATGATTTGTTTAATAAGAGATATGAAGGTTGTCTGGTGTCTGGGTTGTACTTCTCCCGTGATTTGTAGGTGTATTCTGGTATACTCGAGTATTCACTCTTCTGTGGTTCCTGAATATGCCCGGAGAAGAGCGATAAGTAAGTGATAGGATGTGGTCTATTGAGAGGTTGGTTGTTGGGAACTTTGGAATTACTGTAATGCTGTACATCCAACTATGAATCGATATCTTCCGATTTCGCATGGTTTTATATATATACAAGGTAGTACTTACATAGAACCCTAATAACGATTACTCTCTCTCTCTCATACGCACACATACACACACATACACACACACACTCAAACCCCCCCACCCCAACACCCCACAACAGTTTACAATTCACAGTATCAAACCTTAAAAGAAGTATATCATCAAGATCACCCCTCCACTCGCACAAACTCAGCAAACACAAACAAACCCAACCTAATTCAAAAATAAAAATAAAAATTACTATCCATTACTTCCATCTCGCATCACACACCTATACTATAAAAAACGAACCATCATCTCCTAGAGACAATGGGGGTGTAAAAAGAGAGAGAGAGAACACCCATCCAATGCACTGCTAACACAATAATTACACCGACGACGTCCGGTCCAAGCCAAAAAAAAAAAGAAAGGAGCGTAACCCCAAATTGTGAAGCCCAGGTTCTCGTTTTTCAATCCTCGCGTCGAATGCAAATTATCCCATCCACCCCAATGCAAAAAAAAACAAGTCCCCCAAGATTTTTTCCATAATACAAATCCGTAACGCATGCTTGCTAGCCAAAAAAAAGAAGCCAAACTTCAAAACTATCGCTCGGCCGGAACATCAGAGTATTCATCCTCATAAGTCGATGCTCGATTGGCTGGCCATGTCCCAACATTGCTCGCCTCCTTGCTACCATATCCACTCCACGTAGCTTGACTTCTCAGACGACGTTCCTTCTCAAATTCGCCCCATCGTTTCATCGTGATCTTGGAACTATCAAATTCACCCTCGTACTCAATACCAGCCTTCTTAGTCTTCTCGCCTGAAGTCTTACGAGTGTCTCCCCAGGAAAAGTCGTCGAATTTCCAGAATGCGTATGTAGGAAGAACAAAATTCCAAAGTGGAAGAGAGAGCAAGTAGATGAACATCCAGACGACATAGGACCAACGGTGTGCTGTGAGAACAATAAGGACAGCTGGGAGACCCAAAATCAAAGCAAGAAGGACCAATGGGATGATTTGGGGTGGTTGATTAATGATTGAAATGGCAACTGTACTTTGTTAGCAGCGAAGGTAAAATTGAACGTGATGCTACTTACCAACATAAAAGGTAAAGGCAATGGCAGCTGGGAGGACTAGAGTACCAACGAGCTCAATAGCAACAACGAATTGCATACTGAAACAGAACGTTCCGCAAAGATCTCGAACGAGTACAAGTTCCATGAGATTGTGTATCGTACTGTTAATCCATCGACGTCTTTGAGATAAGAGCACACCAAATGTGTCAGGGACAGTGGTTTTGCAGACAGCTTGTGGAACGAAAATTTGCTTGCGTTTGGGGAAAGTTCTGAGCATGAGTGTGGACAAGTAACGATCTTCTCCAAGCAAGAGCAAGTTCTTTTTGTGAAGAGTGTCAACAACGTTCTCAGAGTAATGCTCGACGACATCAGGATTAGCGAGGATTGGAACCCAGTAGTTCTGTCCTCCCTTTGGAGCTTTGATACGGTACATGCAGAAACATCCGGGAAGACAGGTAACACCACCAAAGACCGACTCGAAGGATTTGGAAAGATGGTGGGAAATAAAGTACTCGAAAACTTGAATGGCAGTCACCCAGCTGTCTCGTTTGTTGGCAATCTTAGTTTCACCACAAAGACCCATGACATCAGGATCTTTGACCATGGCGGAGATCATATGAGTTAAGCTATCGGGGAAAACCTTCGTGTCGGCGTCGACCATCAAAACAGTTTCGTAGAAATCAGGCGAGATGCCAGTCACTTTCCATAAGCCATTGAACATTTCGAATTCAAGCTCCGTCATCCGTTCGTCAAACATGACCTTTTGCAAGAACGACATGAGAATGATCTGACTATCACGTTTGCCTCTGTTTCCTGGCTTGCTCTTCTTGGCCTCATCAGGTGTACCACATTTTACAACCATCATCATTGGAACACGTTGCTGTCTTTCCAATGGAATGACGGAGTTGGCACCGTAATCGTAAAAGCCAGAGTAGACCTTTGCCATGTTATGTCTTTTGGAACCACTTGCGACAGCGACGTATGAGAATGCTGGTACTTCATCAGGGAGCAGTGTAAGATCCTTCATCATACCAAGAAGTATATCTGGAGTAGACATCGTCTCACCCTGACCTTTGATGATACCGTCACATATGGCAAGGATGACTTTGTGGCTGTTGGGATAATCTGTCATGGCGATGGAATCGAGGGTTGTGCGAATACCAAGTTCACCTTCCGAGTAAGCAGTGACAAGACAGATGGTATGAGCAAGAGGGTAACCGAACGGTTGCCAATCAGCGGGTGGTTGGGGAACAACTGCTTCGTGGATAAACCCTTCTGTGCCAGGACTAACTTCCATTTCACCAGGAGCGAAAACAGCAGATTCTGGACGAAGAAAGCTGGTACGGCTATCGTTGTGCTGGTGGAAAATACCCTTGGGTGCTACGAGAGCGGATGATGACGTTTGGGTTGCCATCGTGGTAGGCTGAGGGCGACCAACACGCGACAAACGGTTCTCTGCCACGTAAGGATTCGAAAATCGAGATGTGGTAGGTAAGAAGGTGCTTCCACGCTTGCTCATACGATCGGATCCTGCAACGGTGCTGCTTGGGTCTCCTGGAATTCTGGGTGGTGCTCGGTAGATATCATCTGACCAATCCTCAATTTGTTGATTTCTCTTCTTCTTATCGGATGACTGAGAAGTTTTGGCAGCAGCGAATTTCCGGCTGAAAAACCATTGAAACAAGAGTGCCAGAACGAACTTGGCGAGAACGATGGCCAGAATGAAGACCAGAGAAACATAGAGCACAACCTTGGAGGCGATACAGCCAACTGTCTCCGTGTCAACAGATCCTACTTTGATAATTTGTTCAAAACATTGAGCCATTTTCTTATCTTCTCTCGATGAAAATGCGTGGGTAACATCCCTCCCGTGTACGGCGGCATTGGCAGCGGTAGTTCGATCCGAGAGTTCATTGAAACGTGGAGGAACCCGAACTTGGGTTGTGTTAAACCACTTGAGTAAATCCAAATCAAGAACGTTTCCCGAGTAAACCATCAGATTTCGTGAGCTATTCTTGATATCTTCCCAGTTGAAGTAGACATCTCCAGCGGTTCTGAGATCATAGAAAGTATTCCGGGCAGTGCCAATTGTATGGCAAGAATAACCAAGATATTGATCGCTGTTAACAGTGAGGTTGACTTCACTTGAGCCATCTTGGTTGAAAGTGGTGCATGGGAAATACCAAGCAAGATCCCCGTCAGAGTTTGTGGGAACATCCGAGCCGGGAGCTAATGTAATAAGGTCTTTACATTTCCCGTTAACGTTTTGGAACAAGAAACTTCCATCTTGACCAGCATGTTTTATTGGCAAATCATATAACACGTTGGCGTTGTCCGTAATTCCTCTAGCTGCGGGGTGCCTCGATTCAGAAAGATCGTAGGCGCTTCCATGGAATATCATGAATCCGCCAGTAACATCATTAACGCGTAGACGAACCTGTGGTGTGCCACAAACCACGGCGGTGAACCCAAAGGTAAGAAATCCCACACCAGCCATAATGTAAAGAATGATACTGATCAAACCCATCTTTTCTCTCCATGCTCGTTGTTGCGCTTTTGCGGGTTTTCCAAAACATTTGAGTACGAAGTCTGGGCACCAGAAGGTGACAATGGCACAGTAGACATTCCACAGACTGGGAGGCTTGACGAAATCAGCTTGTTTTTGCCGTTCCTTCTCCTCTTTTGTCATCTTTTGTGTCTTGTGGCGAGTGAGTTTCTTGCTTTTACGAGGACCAAGTGGTGATTTTTCGGCCGCTTCCACATCTTCGGGTCCTGCACCACGACCTCTTCGACTTTTCTTCTTGCGCGGAGGAGTGATCTCTGAATCATTTGATGTTCGTAAGCCTGAAGATTCTGTGGCAGCCGTCTCTGCTTCTAGGTGTTCCAAGATGGGGTCATTGCCGGTTGACGAAGGAAGAACGTCCATATTTGCAGCATGCTGCCTGTAGTGATAATTCGGGTGATCTCGATCAATTCTGTTCCGCTCTGGTCGAATCAGACTTCTTTTCCTATGTATTTCGTTGCCCGGTGTTGTTGTCCCGGGTCCTCGTGCGAAGGCGTCGCTGGATGCGGTTGGCGTCATAGGAGATGGTAGAGTATCTGTGAGAGAGGATTTGGATGGCCCACGAGCATGCCTCGAAGGCGACGGTGGAGCTACATATGTAGTGTCGACTTCTTGTGGTCTTCGACGGGGAGGATTTCGATGTGAAGTTCTCTGTTCCCTGCCAGCATATTCGTGGGGTCTTTGTGGGAGCGACATGATTCTGGGTTAACAACAGTCAGTAAGGCAACCTGCCAAATATTGACCTTTGGCTCGGTACTTCAACTCCTATGTACTGAAATTTGGTGGCTGGTCTAGTTCCATCAACAAAACTAGTGGGTGCCCCTAATGCTAACCGAGAATATAGTGCTAAACAAATGTTGCTACCCAGTGGTGATAGGCAAAAAGATATTTAATGTGTGAAAACGCACAATTATGATGTTTGAAGAGTTGGGTACGCAAAAGAATAGTGTAGTGATTGTTTGTCAGGCCAAAGCCCTGTTGTTGAAGCACCCCTGCGGTTGTTGCGCAAGCAAGCGGGGATTGTCACCACGACGACCAAGAGCGACCAAGACCACGGCAGGCGGCGTGGCTAGATGCAGGAATCGGCAGGATCTCGTTGAAAATCTGGGAATCACGACAGGTGGTGAGCGCAGAGAGAAGTAGGAGCAGGATCGGAAGTTCAGTCAAGAACTCGGCCCTTGGTCCGGATGATTGTGTTAACGAGGTTTGGGTTGGGTCGAAGGTGGTGAGGAAAAGCGAGTGGTGCCGCTGTCAAGGGATGGATCAGCAGATACGTGAAGCGATTGTGATTCGAGTGCCACGAAGGCAAAAATGCCCGGAAACGAAAGAATATATGGCCGACACTGCGAGGAAGAATATTTGGACGAAAAGCAGACGCTTCCCACGTTTCTCTGAGCGAGCGAGTGAGAGAGTGGTGGATGAAGTTCAAGATCCAAGACGACGAGGACCTTGAAGAAATCCGACCGACAGCACCGCACCGCGCCAGCATGGGGAGTCTGCTCAGTGATCTGCGCTTGAACCCTCCGAAATGCTTTACTAAGGCGGCAAGGCAACTCTTTCTTCCTCTTATGGTTAAATCGACAAGGGATGTCTATTTTTACCAATGCACACCCGCACCATCTTTCCATGTGGATTTCATCCCGCTTCGACTCTCCTTTTTGCATTTATTTACCAACGTCCACAGCATTCATCGTGAAATGTTTAGACAAGCATGCCTTTCTCAAACATCCCAGGTCTTCTCAAGGAACCCTTTGCGAACCATCAATGTTGTCCTACGGTCACCACGACAACCTGGCCTTCTGAGTTGCGGGATCCGTGTTCGGAGTTTCTTTGACCGGGTCGCGTTGCGGTCAGTCTTTGAATGGTGGGTCGGCTCTCTCAGAGTCGCAATACGAGTTGGAATCCTTTTTTCCTTCATTTGGAGGCGAAGTCTCCCATTCAGTGGCGACTATCATCCTTCTACAAGTCGCTGGTTATTCATTTTTACGAAGTTTCTACGTAAATTACACTTTTGTTTCACCAGAGCAGATCCAAATCTGTATTGGACGATCGCGGGGATAGGTAGGAACGGGTAGCTCATTCAAGGTTCATCATTATGCCCCTAAACCCCTCTTGTTTGGTGATCTGATCACCCCTGTCATTCATCTCTATCTATCTCTTGACGTTAACTCCGATGCATCTTCATCTTCATTATTTACAGATTGAGGGGTAGTCTCTCTCCAGTTAGAGCCGCTTTTCCATGAGAATATGTTTATTATTAGATTCTTAATACTCGAGTATCCCGGAGTGTCAAAGTTCTATTGAGCCTCAATGCGGACAGGAGCGTCTTTTCTGTAACCGTGTGGAGTGAACCACTGCTTGCTGTGATGAATACGGAGTCAAACGGAAACTGCTGTATTGAGCGAACAACTAAGTGAGGAGAGAAGAGAGTCCCAGAGGAACGGAAGCTTAAATACAGGATGCCAGCGGCACGCACGTGCCGTACTACACGTGACCAGACCCCAGTCCCTCCAACTCCGTAACATTTTTGATGCAGTCATCATTGGCAGGGACCAACTCTATTGGGAAGCCATCTCGTAATTTTATACCAGAATAATCCCATACGAGGAATACACTGACTGACGATTGCATTCGCCCGTCTGCGAGCTGACATTCCAACTAGACAGTCTAGTAAGTCCGTCATTACTCTTTGATGAGAGCCAAAACAAGTGTACGGCAAATCACCAGTGTTACATGAAGGCAGCTAACGGCAACAGTGGCTAATTCTTCGACATCTGGTTTGTTTCAACGGATTCGTGCTTTCAGCGCTTGAGGTATCAACCCACGCCACCAAGCGAGCTGTGAAAATTCATGAGGTTTCGGCCGCTCAGAATCATGTATTGTTACACATAACCTCAGCTCCATCAAGTTGCAGAATAGAAGAGGCTCCAAAAGGCCACATCGATACGCCATAGCGACGGGTGTCGAATGTTTCCTTGATGATCTCCCTGAGCACAGTACCATGCGTGTGTAGCGCACTGGGGGACACGTACGATGTAACTTGCAAAATCGGAGTGTTTATGTGACATCAAACGTCTCTCGGGTTTCTCAGGGGCTCTCGTTTGCTAGCGAGCTAGCCTACAGTAGCGATCTCGCCTAGCGATCTCTCAAAGACCATACTCGCAATAATACTCCATACAATAATTGTAACGGATCTTGAGGATAATCGAAAACCCCGTCCATATTTTTTTCCTACCACGTAAATTACGTAGATTCAAACTCAAAAATTACGACGCACCCCGCGCTAAAAGACTTTCCATCATAGACGATGCGGAGAACCTTGTTTTAAGAAACTTCCGGAAACTTTGCCACTTTATTCTTAGCCCGCGGTTGAAAAAACTCCGCCGAGGCATGATTTACGAGTAAGTTTACGTTGGAGAGACAGACATCGGTTCTTCATAGAAAGCAGATACTTCTACAAGTACAAAGTAAGAAGCCCCAGAAAAGCAATACAAGCGTCTCAATGGAATTTATTGCTCCCGGCAAGTTTGATTTGATGTATGCTCCTCCAGGGTAGTCTGCCGGCAATAGAAGCGGGACCTGTTGTGCTTCGACAGGGACACACGGAGAGGCACAGAATGCGCAGAGAAGCTTGCTGGAAGAGTCAGTTGACCACGGCATCTCGTACGGTACGGAGATAGTCGTATTGCTGAGGTCAGGGTCCTTCTGAGATGTGAGTACCTGAATCTGAACCTGACCTGACATTACTCGAGTACAGAACACAGTTCGTAGACCCCATCTTGCAGCAAGGCAGGACCCTACATTCTTGCGCTTGACATTGCATCACCAGCATAGCCAACCATCATATTTGGTGCATTCCAACGACGTGACCCAGTACTACTGGGCCAGTAGTAAAGCGTAGGCTTTCTCCTGAATTTCCAGCAGTAGGGCACGCCTACTCGACAGACCTCACAATTGGCTCTCATCACAACCCCCACTATCACCACCATTGTTCACTCACTGCACCGAGGTCGTCATCTGCAGCGCATCACAATTTGAGCTTCACTGCTTCCAATTGGCTTGCATGGCCTCCAGCGTCCCATTGACCCCCGGCTTGACAGGCGTTACCAGTACAGGCTCCACGGGCTCTGCTTGCCTGACAGGGGCCACATCGTAGCGTAGATCGCTAATTCTTTGCAGTACGTGAAACCTCCACCACTCAGTGACAGTGACGGTGACGGTGCACTCGGATGGCATATTCACCTCTTCGCCTCAACGACCCCTTTCGCTTCTATTATTCACGGTGTTGTTGAAGAGGTCTACTAATCTCCCTGTCGTTCGGCAGCGACCACTACCAACCATCACGGACAAGCAGCCTGTGCGACCAGCTTCAACTCACTGCGGCTGACTTTCCATTTCCGCTGCTCTGCTCAGTAAGACATTATTGCCAAGGCACTCCCACATCCACCAGAACCTCTCTCAAAACCACAACCTCCTCCTCCCAAGTTGTGTAGCACGTTCTCCGGATGCTTGCTAATACCTTGTTCGCACTGCTAGGTCATCCCAAAGCTTCTCCCTAGCCGAATCCGTCCACGCTCGTTTGCTCCCACAATTCCGAATCTTCTCAAAGGGACCCCTCACTCCTCCGGCAGTGCCATCGGGCCTCCAAGAACATTCACACGTCGTCTTGTCGTTTGAAGCATAGGGATACTGCGGGGAGTGTGGAGAAGGCAAGGCATTAATTTGTCTGTGGGAGGTGGAAGCTCTGCAGCAAATCTCCAAGATATTGTTGCGCAGGGCAACATGTCAACTTCTTCAACACCTCAGGGTTCTCCACCTGGAAAGGCTACCAGGCCCATCCAATCTAGCCCTCCTTCAAACTTTGAGGCGAACGGTGAATCCGAGGAGAATATGAGGATTGTTCCGCCACCTTCGCTCCCAGAGTCTACCGGCCGAATAGTCGGGGCACCTATGTCTCCCGTGAGCGTCAATGTTCAATCTGAAGATTGGGCACCGGCGCCATCGAGTGCAAAAATCGAAGCCATAGAAGGAGGGCATGAGCGGCAGCATTCAGGGGAATCTGAGGACTATATGGCACAAAATCCCGGATCTTCACAAACTCAAGAACTTCCCTACCGGCCAAATTTCAGTAGAACCCTAACAGATCCGGCGCAACAACCAAAAACTGCCATCGCATCATCCACTGAGAATCCAGCATACATGGCAGCATCGAATGGGTCTTCCCCAAAACGATTTCCTCCCGATCGAATAGGCGAAAATCAATCTTCAGTAGCAAGTCCACCCGTCCCTCAGTTCCGGTACCATCACCAGTCCCATGCATCCGAAGGAAGTAACTTCCGTATTCGACCGGGGAATCAGACTTCTGGCTCTCCAGCAGATAATCAGGTAGATGTAGGAGCATCGATAGGGCGACATCTGACTCCTACATTACCCGGCGTTGGCGTTAGGAGGACATCAGCAAACCGACCAGTGTCTGCGTATTCTGAAATGGGAGGAAACAGAGGGCGCTCAGCTTCGCCATATATAGCTCCGGGCTCTCCGGCGTGGAGTGGACGTACACCTTCAGCAAACTCTCACAGATCCCACGATAGACCTCTTTCATACGTTGATTTGACAAATGTGTCTTATCCTCAAGCCCCACCAGCTCCAATATCTCTGGATAATTCACAGCTAAGATCTGCTGTGGGTGCTAATGCTTCGCTTCTTAGTATGCAGAAAACTCTCGAAATGTATCGCCAAAACGTGAAAAAGCTGAATGATGCAGAAACACAGTATGCCTTTGCGATTTTTCTCATACAAGCAGCACAAGAAGCAGGGCTTGGGCAGGATGGTGGCACTACACCTCAGAAGGTTCGATGGAAATCCGGCGCAAGGGACCTTGATAGCAATGCAATTAACCAAGCAGAGTCTTCACCGTTAGAGTTGTTGAGTGAGGCGAAGCACATATTACAAAAGTTAGCCGACCGAAGTTACCCATTTGCTCAATATTATCTTGCAGACGGATACTCTTCGGGCCTTTTTAGTAAAGGTAAAGAAGATCACGCGACGGCTTTCCCCTTGTTCATATCTGCAAGTAAACACGGACATGCGGAATCGGGTTATCGTGCTGCCTTGTGTTACGAATTCGGGTGGGGATGTAGAAAAGATGCTGCGAAAGCTGTTCAATACTACAGACAATCCGCATCAAAAAACCACCCAGGAGCAATGACTAGACTTGGAAGAGCTTGCCTCTCCGGAGACCTCGGCCTGAACAAATACAGAGAAGGTTTGAAATGGCTTAAACGAGCTACCGAGTCGGCAGATATGCAGTACAATGCTGCTCCATATCACCTCGGTCTTCTCTACGTGACCGGAGATGGACAGGATATCTTTCAGGACGAGACTTATGCCGCTCAGCTGTTTACACAGGCGTCGGATCTGGGCCATGTCGAATCTGCCTACATTATGGGCGATGCGTATGAACACGGCAAGCTATCTTGTCCCCGAGACCCAGCCTTGAGTGTGCATTTCTACACCTGTGCTGCTCAACGGGGTCATCCAGCTGCCATGATGGCTTTGTGTGCTTGGTATATGGCTGGAGCTGAGCCTGTACTTGAAAAGGACGAGAATGAGGCATACGAATGGGCGCGTCAAGCAGCTCAGTGTGGTAAATTCACTCTCCCTGTTGCCTTGCAATGATTGCTAACATAACATCAACAGGTCTCACCAAAGCCGAGTACGCCGTTGGATACTTCTCGGAGATGGGAATCGGGTGTCGACGGGATCCACTGGAAGCCAATATTTGGTATATCAAGGCTTCAGAAAGTGGCGATGAGCGTGCCAAACATCGGTTAGCTGCCATACGTGCGGCGGCCAGCGGGGGGACGCCGATGGAAGTTGCGTCTCCGAAGAGTGGAAAGATGAAGAAGAATCCCAATGGAAATGAGAAAGATTGCATTATCATGTGATTTCTTTTTCAATATTTTGCGACATTGGATGGATGGAATTCAAAAGCCCTGTTTTCTTTTTCTTTTGGGGGCGATTGGGATGGAAAGTACTGGGGTGGGTGGTTACCTAACTAAAAGATCCGTGGAGTTTGAAAAGAGAGAGAGCTGAGGATTCAAGGATGGGCTGGCGGTGCTGTGTCTTTTTTTCAAATGTATATATGAATGGAATCTCTTGCATGGGTGTGGTGTCGTTGTGGTTTGTTGTTGTCGTTGTTGTTGCTTCTTTTTTGGGTTTCTTCGATGCAACGGGGATAGTTGGTTGGGTTAAGATGGGCTTTAATATAGTATCTTGGGGATTTGTTTTTTTTCTTTTCCCCTTTTCTTTTTTTTAATTTTTTTGCATGGGCTNAACGGGGATAGTTGGTTGGGTTAAGATGGGCTTTAATATAGTATCTTGGGGATTTGTTTTTTTTCTTTTCCCCTTTTCTTTTTTTTAATTTTTTTGCATGGGCTGGCGAGGTGGTGTGGTGTGTGTGTGTGGTGTGTGTGTGGTTGTGGGTAGGGGAGGGTGGGAGTAGAGAGGGGTAGGGAGGGACAGAGTAGGGTAGAGTAGATGAAAGGAATGAGAAGAGATGTTTGATGTGTGTGTTGATTCTTTGGTGAGATTCTTTTCGTACTCGTGCTCGTGGCTTGGTTGGAAGGTGGGTTTGGGTTTGGGTTTGGGTTTGGGTTTGGATGTGGATGTGGGTTAGATGTGGAATTGGAGGTTATAGTAAGAGGTGAGGAGTGGGAAGTTAGAAGTTAGAAGGTATGGTTGGCTCTGAGGTGGGTTTTTATGTTTCATCGTTGAGTTGAGGAGTTAGACATGTGGGATAAGGGGTTTGGGTATTTGGGTATTGTATAGTGAGTATAGTAGGTATTGAGTAATAGATGGATTGGATTGGATTAGATTAGATGATTGATAGATGTATGTGAAATGGTCTTTGATTAAGCGGTAAACGGTACTGTAATGATTCTTCCAAATTGTTTATACTATAGAACTATTTACTTCTACTCGTGTACGACGCTTTCTTTTTGAACAATCTTTTTATTACAAGAGGTACATAGGTAGGTGTAGATAGAGCAGATAGAGTAGATAGAGTAGATAGAGTAACCACCACAGACCACTTATCTTACTACTTATGTACTGTAGTTCTTATCTAATCTAACATTAAATAATGAATAGTAAATAGTAATTAAGTAATTAAGTAATCAACCCACTACTTCTCACTACCTAGTTCTCTCCTCCCATAAATACGTTCCGTCGTTTGATGAAGGAGAAGAAGAAGAAGAAGAAGAGAGATGAGCCGAATCCTTGGGATCTATACAGGTCCTCGGTTTTGAGTGAAGGGTGTGGGGTGTGGTATCTTTTGTATCTTTTGTAAGTTGCTGTGATTGCCGAGGAGGATTTTTGGAGGAGGATTCGGTAGGTCGGGTGGGGAGAAAGGGGGGACGGGTGTGAGTTGTGGATGCTGAAGTGGATGCTGAGGTGGATGGGGGGGAGTAGTTTGAGTTTGGAGTTGTTTGTTTTTGCTATTTAATATAATGAGGGGGGGTTGGTGGAGGAGAGGNTGAAGTGGATGCTGAGGTGGATGGGGGGGAGTAGTTTGAGTTTGGAGTTGTTTGTTTTTGCTATTTAATATAATGAGGGGGGGTTGGTGGAGGAGAGGTGAGATAGTAGTGTTAGTAATAGGTGGTAATAGGGAGGAGATACTTACGGAACGGACTTGATCGAGTATTAGGGCTTTATGGATAAGTTTGGTGATTTTACGGTAGATATCTCTCATATAGTAAACTTATCTTCCTACTTGTAGGTGAGGACACTGTGTAAGTAGTGTATAGAACCAATTCACAACTCACAAATTCCCCAACAAAAAAGTCAAAAAATCAAATAAAGCAACACCATCTCCTCCAACCTCCTTATTTTATCTATAGTAACGCCAAGATCAAAATACCAAGTCCCATCCCTCTACTATTCAGCCAAAAAGTACGAGTAGGTGTTATAGTAAACGCATCTTCCCTTCGAAGGTTCTCCCCCAGTGGGAGCTGAAAAGTCAATAAGGTATAGACTCCCGGTCTATACCTTATTAACAACCGATTATTTAGGCAGAAGGTTTTTTCTCATAAAAAAAAACCCTTTTTTATAAAAGGTTCTCTTAGTTTCCAATAGTCTTTTATTTATCCCTACAGCGTTCTCTATAAGGTCTTTTATTATTAGGTATAAGACGAGGTTTCTCGATTTTACTAGGTACTTTTACCGGTTCGGTAGGTAGGAATAGACTTTTATTATAGTTTTAGGTATGTAGATCCTACTACGTGCGTACTTCCGAGTACTTTCTATATTACTACCCTTCCCCCGCCCTCTCTTTGCTCCTAGTGTCCCTACCTATTTATTTATTTATTTATTACTATTTAACGTCAGGCGGAATCTAACTCGCGTGGGCTAGGTCCTAAAAGTCCCATTGTTGGGCAAATGACGCTAGGGGGGTGCCCTAGGCTACAGGGGGTGTAAATGAAAGTGCGCTAATTTACAAGAGATAGTTTAAAGAGAAGCCCCACTTCCGGAACAGCTCTCATTCTGAGTTAGTTTAAGAGCCAGAGTAAAAATAAGTTAACAGTGTACAAGATAGTGAGTAGAGAACAAGAGAAGAACTATATAAGACAGAGACCAAAGAACAGTAGAAAGAGGAGATATAGTGTAAGGAAGAAGAGGACTATCTAGGAGGACAGATCCTAGAGTAGAACTTTGTCTTATAGTAGATCTTGTGAAACAGTTCCTCGCATTGTGGTCCGAAGAGGAGTTGAGGGTTCCTCTGAGCCTTTGCAAATAGCTCAGGGGCTACTCTATTTGCTAGCCGGCAAAATAGTAGGTGAAATTGAGTCTTTTCTCTTCCACACTTACACTCCCCTGAAGTAAGTAGCGTGTCGAGGTGAAAGAAGCGAAGGTGATAAAGAGTAAAGTCACCGTGGCCAGAGCGAGCTGCAATTAAGCGAGCAAGAACCTCCCTTGGTAAGCGAAGTGATTGAGGCTTCGAAGACCAGTTGTTAAGCCCTAGGTCCTTGTATAAGCTTGGAAGCGTGGTTTTCCAGAGTTTCTTTGCAAGCTGAACCCCTGTCTCTTTAACTTCTCTTCTAAGTGTAGCAGTGCAGAGTATAGAAGGGGGGTCAGGAGGAGGTAGCCGAGCGCCTCTTCCCGCAGCTCTTCCCGCAGCTCTGTCCGCAATCTCATTCCCTTGAATTCCAATGTGACTAGGGCACCACCTGGTTTGAACTTTCCCAGGGTATAAAAGAG